AAAACAAATGAGGGAATATATTGCCTTCCTATCTAAGGCTCTTCAGAGATAAGTTGCTTCGAATAATCTATCTCGTAAGTGCGTTTGAACACCTAAATCTTTGTGAATTTTCGTTAATTGAATATGTGATTTGAATTGAAGTTGTTCAAATTATGTGATAAAGCGTAACAAATGTATTTGATAATAACCACCGTGCAACTGTAGTGGAGAAGTTGATTTCAGAGCGTTAGCAATTAATGCTCTGTTTGGATATAATAATGAACAATGCTAGGAAAGTATGTCGTTCTCAGCTTGTCTGAAAAAAATAGTCGATGATATAGACGAGATGAGGGGTCGAAGGGCAAAGGGCACTTCAAGTGCACTTTGTATGAAAAATCAGTAGTGAATAATATCATGGATAACATCAATTATTGTTTGGCACGATAAAAATCAAATGCATCTCGCTACAGCATCGTCATGTACCGGCGTATTTTTTCAATATTTTTTGAGCTTTGAACACATCAAAACATTTTCATGCCAATTATCTAAAATCAATTGCAACCGCACTAAACACCCTTACTGTGGACTCCTTCACATGAAAAGTGATATAATACATGTATATGGAAAATTATAAGATTCAAACAAAAATACGTACAAAAGCATGCCTTGAATTATACAAAACAAATTAATCCACAGAAGGAAATTTCAAATTATACAGGAAAAAATAACAAGCGAGGAAGTTGTTAAACGGACGCGCATTCAAAAAGAACTCTTGCTTGTTACTAGATAAAGAGAAACTGCTTCAGGTTGTAAAATGATTGAAAGCGATATCGAATTTGGGACATTTGATTGGAAATTTATTAATACTTTTTGGTACAAGTTTAGCAAGAGGCGTAATTGATTGATCGATTAATTGATTAATGAAGACTTGAGTTTTGCAGGTGGACACCAATTCAGCTTATATACTTGTCGTCCTAGTGCTTCGCAAGCACAAGTGACTGACATCTTCAGAGGTGGCTGCTGCCTCGATCAAGCCGCGTTCTGAAGATGCAAGCCACTGGTGCTCTTGCGAAACGTCAGGAAGACTTTCATTTGGTTAAGATGTATTCGAAAGCAAATTTTAAAGAGTATTTGTTCAGGTCTTGCACGATTAGTTCGCCAACTGAATATGAAAATACTGAAACCTACAACAACTGTATAATAAATTGCTGCGATAATTGGCCAATCGAATACCGGCTGGAACATAAATAACCGAAATGGCACCGACACGATTGCGAAATGTTACGAAATATTTTATCCAAGACCACATTCGTATTTTTACAATTTTTCCATTTGGAACATCTTGCATTTAACTTGATAAATGCGTCAATGCCATTACCGCAAACGAAATTCACGTACTTATAGCTCGGTTTATTGTGTCAATAAAACACCTCGTATCTTTGCAGGAATACGAATGTGTATCATCCAATTTTCTCTACAGAGATAAAAATGTACATCACTCGCCTCGCTGAAGTGTTGGATGTGTTCCACGTACCCTAACGAATCTGAAAGTATCGCATTAAGCTGTTAAATAAGTAGTCTCTGGTTGAGGAGCTGTGCTTCCTTCACAGTTTCGCAACTTGCAGCGGCGGAGTTTGAACGTTAGTACTCAAATTCGATTTATATCACTTAAGAGATTAATTTTCGTTTTAAAATTACATGACACGGCTTCCAACGTGTCTGCAGATGTTGAGAGGAATGTAACTTTTAAGCAGCTTGTTAGAGCGTTTAAGCTTTTATGAAAATCAAATTTAAAGTGCACCATCTGATCGCGTTAGAGTAACTTCTAACATGCTTTAAGACAAGGCGAAATGCATGCTCTTTTTGCTAAAATCACCATTTCGGAGACGATCGATTTGGAGAATTAGAAATGTTCCTTAGGAATTTGGAATTTACTTATGTATTGTGAAAGAAAATGTAATTGCTTGTGATCCAATGATGATAATACAATAATGAGATTAGGGATTTTGATACATCAATCAAGAATTCAACATTTACCTTTATGATTGCGGTTTTGAACCGTGTAGCTTACTTTCCAGCTGTTTACAACTGTTTTGCTATAAACCCTAATTATCAAAGCTTATTAACCAAATGAGATTATCAAACGCGATATTTCAAGATTATTCACTTATAGTAAATCTTCTGAGCGAGTTTTAATGTGGGGCGAAATTGTAACGAGAAAAACATATTTTTGTCTCCAAAAAAAGGGGCTAAACCAGGCTGCTTCACAAGAAGAAACATCGCAAGAAGATCACAAAAAAAATCATATTAAAAATCAGTAGAAAACGTCTAGTTTCCATACCAGCGAGTTTTACATTGAACTATTGAGAGTATGTTGTGTTGGCTGACGTAATATGGGGTTTGAAAGTAATATGTCTTGAACAAATTTGCAATAAAAAAAAGTGATTCTGGCGAAGAGCAAAATATTGAAAAATATGTTTAAAAAAAATTATAGATGTATTTCATATTTCTTTTTAAACAATAAATTAATAAACTTACACTGTTATTTTGCACTGTTTAGAGTTCGCTTTCACGGACGATTTACTTGTATTATCAACTAACTTATAAACTAACTATTTGAATACAACAAATTTGGAAATAATTAAATTGAATTTGAAAATATTGCACATTTTTGGATTTTCGAAAATTTTGATGGGCAATATGGACATAATTCTTTAAGTAAAGCCTGGTTTGTTCTATTTAATCAATCCACGTAAAGTTCTGATGTTTTCACATTTCCTATAGTTTAGTTTCTGCTTGAAGCAAGCTATTTTTCATTAATTTATGTTGCAAAAGATTGCTGTAATATTTGGAAACATTATCGATTACTTTCAAATTATTGTTAGCAGCCAGAAATCTGTTAGTTCTGTCTGTTAGTTCATTATATTGGCTTATTTTAGATTTAAAACTAGTAAGGTTGTTTTTCGTAGAGTTTAAAGTTTCTGTTTAAAAATTAATTTCATATCAAGCTCTTTTATAGCAAAATTTTGCTCGCATATCTACATACACTTCGATTTAAATTAGCGAATTTCCGTTAATTAGTGAAAATAATTCTTCTACTACTGGGTCAACAGAAAAAAAATGTTCCATGCCTTGACTTGTACAAAAACACCTTCACAATAAAAAGTGTTTCTGTAAAATTGGAAGAAATGGGCATTAGGAAACATTTCAGTACGACAACTTAGATCAACTATTTGTAAAATGACTTTAGTAAAAACATGGTATAAGCTTGAGATTAAGTGTTTTATTTGGGTTGAAACTAGTGAACTAATTTGTCGAAATGCTGTTTTTGCTCAAAAGGCAAGAGGCCAGAGAAAGCTTTCAAGCCAAACACTTCTGAAGATGCATACACATTTTCATAACTGCCCAACAGTCTGAAGAACTCACCAGTTTCAAGCAGCGAACGCGAAAATCTAATTCTTTTTTTAAATGGCTGCTTAAATAAAACAAGTAAATGATGATAATGTGGGTTTTATATATTGAATAAACTTCACTATCAAAAAGGTAAAAGACAGCAAAAATAACATCTAATTTTTACTTGCTCGATTCCAAAACGTTGACAAATAAGAGACCGATAATCAACTAAAACAATCAAAGAAACACACATAGTAAACAAGAAATTATTAATCTCTAAGCTTTTAAAAAACGAGAGTTAATTCACTAAAAGTAAACTTTGTTAACATTAACCAACAGTACAAAATACAGTTACGCTGTTGATAGAACAATTTGAAAGAGTGATTCACATGAATGGTAATTTTCACGTAATTTCAATTCGATGTGGCATTCAAATATCGAAAGCTATCGTAATCGGAGTGATCGCATTCAAACACGTGACAGTAATCTGTTTTCTGGCTCTAATAGCGGAAATGTAGTTTAGATCAGCGGAATACCCAGCTTTCGATATAACTAACGCTAGTGTAATTTCACACAAAGAGCTATAACAAATAATTTGGTTTTGTAATTAAGGATTTTAAGGCAAGCAAATATTCCTGATAATCGTACGGTGAGATAATTCAAAAAGTCAATAAAAATAAGCATTTGTTAATTTTCGTTATACAATCAGGAGTACAAGCAATAATCAGTCAACTTTCAAGTCCATCAGAATTATATATGAATTATTCAAAACCGAAAGAAGTTGCCCGGATGTGAAATTACACATTTAAGCCAATGCCTTTATACCTAAATATCTATCAATATTTCAATATACATATATCTGAAAGGCAATATCATACTATGGGTCTATTTGCGTCGAGCTAAAGCTTTGAGCGGAGTTAGAGCAAAGTTAATATTGAGTGCCTTTTGAGATATTACGACGTGGTTTAGGACACCCTGATTCTCGAGAATAGCGAGATATATTTGCTCCAGCTGTTTCATTTTAAAGTCGATAAGTCTTGAGCGCTTTGCCTGCAATGCAATGGAAACCCATGCCGTTTCATTTCTACACCACTGATTCTGCTAAATATTGATTAAACCGACCCACATTCTTCGGCACCGTCGCCTGTTTGTGTTGATGGTTCGCTACACCTCCAGTGTCAGTGGGCCAATTTTTTTCTGGCTAATTTATTAAATTGTGATCCCCTGGTTTCTAAACGAACCGTGAAGTGAAACTCTAGTTTCACTTCACTTGATGAAAAATGAGTTCACGCATTATCGCAAACTTTGCTTTCCACTGCATCAAATTCCTTTCGACTTTTGTTTAAAAAAAGACCACAGGATGCTAACGTTGATGCTTGTAAGGCAAAACCAAAACCGAGTTTTACTTTTTACTTAATTAAATTTCTTCAGTGAGTTCACTTGCTTACTTTGCACCTGAAGTTTATTAAACAGCTTCAAAGTATTCAAGTGTATATTAGCTTTATTAATTTTAAAATTAATTTTAAATTACGTCTAGAATCTTTGCCCGTTTTGCATCAGCTCATAGAGAAGGATGGAAATAGTTATTTAAATGTTTAAACTCGAATTCTCTTTAATTACATTTTCAGGTTGAGCGAAAATTGCAAGATGCATTCAACGACCCAAAGGCTGCTAATAAGCAGCATTTGCAGGTGAGTTTATACAAGTTTCATTTAATTTTAAAATTGTCTCAAAGCAACTGTATTAAAATCCAGCATGAGACTCCAGCAGACACATTCTACACACAATGAAATATAATTTAATTAATTAAATATTTAGTTCAGTCTGAATTATGATTTTATGCATGTTTTTGGGATTTATTTTCAAATAAATCAGTTGTAAATAAAATTTCTGAATAAAATCGAGTGTTAAAGGTAAAACGAAAAGTCCCACATTTGAATATATTTTATTATAATTATCAAATATACACTGAAAATAACGTTTTCTCGACAATATGTGGAAAAGAACAACGTTGCCATTCAAATAATATTTTCTGATGCGATAAATGGGAAAACTTGGTGCAAAAACCAGATTTAGCGTTTCAGGTTTGCAGGATCAAACCACCACACTGTTGCACTCAACTCTAGTGAATACTGCTGAACTTTGGCCTCTGCTCAGTTTGCATTTTTCACTCAATTGAAATATTTCGGTTCAGTTCTGGTTACTCTGTCGTTTTACCCACTTTTTTCATATTTTTTTTACAAAATATACATAATTTATTAGTGAATAGATAGATAGATTAGAAATTTGAAAGGTAATTGTCTCAAAATAGAACGTTTAACTAAACATTAATTTTTATTTTAACCAGTCACAACTGTGATATATACTTAATACTTTCGTCCTTAGGTAATTAGTTTCTATGATCGTGTTTTTGCTGACTGGTTAAAAACACTTCCCACTTCCACGGTTTTATAAATTGAACTCGGAGTCTTTGCTCGGTCTATTCAATTTTGTCCCTAATTTAGTTGTAATTTGAGAATATTTCTGGAATTGGGATGAATAATTGTGTTGAAACCTAACTCGGTCGGAGAATGTGATTACGCGCTTACAGTCCTCGCAATATACCTCAAGAATTTCCAATAAACCAGCATTATCTCCATTTGGAATAGGAATAATTGCCAAGAGAACAACTGGAAAATGTATAAAAATATCGATAACAATAGACAAGACTGAAGAAGAATGTTTTTTATTCAGGGAATCAGATAGCCTTAGATTTGGTTACTGCTTTTAAAAGACGCACAAGGTAGATAGGAAATAGTCAAAAGATTAATTTATCTAGAAATATATGTTTCTACGTGAATATTACTTATTTTTAAAGGGAAAATCAATCGTCTCATATTGGATCACCAATCACTAATTAATTATTATAAAAATCCTACTTATTCCGCTAATGCATAATTCCCTTTTCACCAAATGATAAGAGAACAAATTGCTAGTTATTGAAAGTTTCATTATTTCACCCTGCTCAACCGTTACTCAAAACAGTTAGTTAATCTACGCACATCAATCAACCTTTCGACCGAACCGAAATTTCGGCTTAATATTATAATAGTGAACATGGTAAGTTTGGGCATGCTATTATGCTAGATGGTTGTTTCGATAAGATATGACTAGTTTAAGCTGTCGACATAAATATAGGTGCTTCTAATGGGACAGCTCCTATTTCTGAGTTGAAAATTCGATTATCTATTTTGAGGTAAGAGCAACCCAGCATTTGCTTGTTTGCTAAGTAGAAGCGCGTGATAATTTATAAAGGAACCAGATTATGTAGACGGTGCAAACTTCCATCTGCAACCACTAAGAGAACATGAGCGTGACAAAGTATATTGGCGAATTCCAAGCGAAGTTTTGGAAAGAGCGATCGGGTTAAAATATAAGTAAATCAACGATATTTAGAAAAATTAAGATTTGGTTAGCATTTCTTCAATTGTGCCCTTTTATCAATCATTAATATTTTGATCCTTTTTAACGTGCACTGTTCTGCTCGTACGTATGCAATTTTTGCCACTGTTATACAACAACTAAGAAACCAACGTGCACAATTGATGCGTTAAAATAGAGCAGTAGTCAAGCATTTAAAATTAAATTTTTGAAACAAATAGTAACTTTTGTAAATATAGGCCAATTAAGTATAGTAATGCAGCAAATCATGCCACTGCAAACAAAATTGTAACGCAATAATTCTAGTAACTGCTTAACTATTTTTTCTTTGTCTTTGAAAATTTCTGCCAGCTTAAGAGTTGAGCGTCAATGAATTCGGATTTGCAAAAAAAAACTTTCGAAAATATACGCCAAAAATTTTATGAGTTAAATTTACAAAAAAATCAGTTTTTTGATTCAGTCATCATCAATATTGGAAATCTTATAAATGTCGATTTTCTAAAACTTTTGTTAATTTTTCGGCCCATTGAAACATTCTGAATCTATTGATTTAGAATGTTTTGATGCTATGAAACCATTCCTCCATTTAGGCAAATTATTTGAGAGGCTCAAACTATTTGAAATAAAATTGAATTTCAGTTAGTGGATAATTTATCACCTATACCTTAAACCATTTAGAATATTTCACTACATCCATTCAAAAAATGGTTTGTTTGTACGCTGATCACCCTATATGGTTATCGCTCCATATAAAACTGGAATCATGATTTTGCCCTCAAAAGCTTGCAAATAAAACCGCATTTAAACTAAATTAACATAACTTCTTAATTTATCAGGGTATGATTGTCACTTCTTTGATTGTGGGCTTGATGATTTCTGTACGCTTCATAATTTAAAAATTACGTATAGAGATAGTATTACCTAATTTGACCGAAATTATTTGCATGCATTTTGGATTTAAATAGATATTATGAATGGGCAGTAAGGAATCTCTAAATTTCCTTATAAATAATTTTTCAGATTTCTCTTCAAAAATCATGTGTATATTCTGTTCTATTTTTTCACTGATCTGGTTTGTCAAAATGTGTAGTAAATTCGAAATGCTATAATCAAAATTGACCAATGATAAAAAAAATTATGTTTTTTATAATTTATTGGAGTCCGACACACATTGTTTTTTGTCAATTGTATTGATCTTCAGAGTTTTAACTAAATGTCAATTGCTAACAATTTCGCGAATTCCATGTACAATTTAATTTCATAATTTACAAATTTGGCCGAAATTTAATTCAATGAATATTAATTACCATTCCCTCCACACATATAAATTTGCACAAATCATATCACAACACTGAACCAGTCATCAAAAACTTGATTTTTTTGGGTATACCGAAAAAAACTCCGTGAAAACTAAGCAGCGAGAACCGTGAAAACTAACGATCTACAAACACCAAAACGGAACACGAAAGCTCTGTAGGGACCGATCGCTGAGGAATATACTGAAGCGCAGTGGAAGCAGAGTGAAAATAGCGAAAGCTCCAAGCTTAATGCTGAAACGCTGCCTGAAAGCTGACGGAACGCCGTATATAAAATGACATGCGCGCTTTACAAAATCTAATCTATAACATCATATCATGTGCACTTATCATTCTGTAAACAGGTAGACGGTTATGGCAAAAATTTATCGAATCTCTTTGGAGCACTATAATTGAAAGCATACGTGCTTCTGATAGTGAAGAGCGGACCGAGCAGCTGCTCAATTGTCTTTGTAAATGAGAGGGTTTGCAAAATGGACTGAAAATTATCAAGATGCATGGAAGCTATAAGTTTCTTTCTGGATGCGTCCTTTAATTGTAAAGCTGTCCAAATTAAAATACTTTTCTATGAAAAACATATCCTGAAAGGGAATAATGAATAAATAGATAATTTTGCTAACATTGAGAAATAAATATTTTACCCTGCAAATGAGCAATACGGTTTAATGAAAGAGGAAACATTAATTATGAAAAATGTTAAGTTTACCTCATTAGTTGAAAGTTGTGCAGACACTTCAAATTGATCTCCATTAAGGTTGGTGGACCTCAAATAGTTGAGAAAAGCGTTTTGCCGTTTCAAAAACAACGGCTATCATATGCTGATAAATTATGATCATGATTGGGTTGCTCTTGTTCAACTATTCAGCAAAACATCAATCAGACGAACAGATTATTGCAGCAATTTCAAAATTATCAGAATCGCGGACTTCAGAATAGCCTATGGCAAAACTATTCCAGTTTCAGACGATTTCAGAGAAAGACATTCGGCATTTTTTTTCTACCAGAGCAAAACAATTTTCAAATTAATGTTGCTATTTCTTCTCTTTACATTCGTTTTACTTGTAGGGTTGTGTAAAATAATTGAGTAATTAATACATCGATGTTGAAAAAATGTTAGGTGTAAATCTATGAGTTTCAGCATTTGAAATACTGCCATATTTATATTTATTTTTTGTTGCGTTATCGAATAAAATATTTGTTTAACGATTGCGAGTCATGTGTGATAAAATACATCAACTTAATGACAAAATATATTGGCAATGCAATTAAATATTTGTCATTTTCCTTGCAATGTCGTAAAAGCAGACTAGCTGATCAAAGTCTAGACATTTAATTAAAACTTCGGAAAAATCAATTCGCAGGAATGTCGCAAATTGCGAATTTCATTAAACACGACTGTTGCTCTTGGAAATGATACACAGTCACTTGACTGAACGAGCTTTAATCAACGCAAGTTCGAATTTGATTAAAAATATTAATTGTGCTATCCTGAGGATTATTCTGTGGGAAAATGCAGTTTGAATGCATACAATTTTGCAAATAAAACGAATTGATTCCAACGGAAATTTTCAATTCAGGGAAGGCGGATAGATGCAAAGCCAGCTAATGACTTGATAATACTCGAAATTTAGAAGGTGTAGCGATAAAGATCAAGTGAGAGCTATTAGTTTGCTCTTGAAAACCAAAGAGAAAAGCATGAGCAAGATTTATAAGTAGATTAAATACAAACCTACAAAACGTAATTTACCATGTTAATAAAGCTCTCTTTGACAGTGGGATTATTTGCACTTACATTAGGAATTGCAGAATAGCAACACTTTTTTTAAAAATAGGTAGAGCGATGGATTAAGTTTAAGTTAGGAAGGTAAAAATTGCCCTTTTGACCGAATGAGAAGCTCAAAACGAATGCCCAAATTTCATGACTATCGGACAAACCATAGAAAGTTTAAAATAAGAAAATGTATAGCTGATTTTTTTAAGATCAATTAAGAATCAGGGTCTAAAACTGTTTATTTAAAATGTGTGGTTTATTTTTAAAGAATCTGTCAGAATATTTCACAGTTTTTTCTGTTTTTTTTTTGTAAAAATGCTCATATTCTGTTTCCAATAATACTCAAAGATCGAAAAAGCTTAATATAAAATATGTATAAGACGACGAAAGACTGACGATTCAATTCTAAAACATGCAAACAAAACTTTGCAATCGCCCACGACTAAAAACCATACTAGAAATGAACTTACAACACATTATGGTCACTACATCATGGATATTTGGTTGGTTATTTTAAAGAATATTAAATCTGTCTCCACACTATCTTTTCTTTGCATGCTTCTATATGCGTTAGTTACATTCCTAATTTCAATGAAATTAATGTTTGTTGCTTTAATCTCTAATAAAAAGGTCACGTATGAAATTAAAGGGCAATAAGAAAGAAAATTATTTTTTACATACTTGGCATATAAATTCGTGTATCGAACCAGTGGGACTAGAATTCAAAAAAGTTCAAATTAATGTTTCAATTGAGTTCCCAAACCAATAACTTTTATGTATTTATGACCGAATTTCAATTTCAAATTTCAATTTCAATGCGTCCGGTTATTCCAAGAGTTCCACCACAAAACTAAAACATTTATAACAGAACCGCACAACTTTGCTTCACAACATCAGTTTTAAGTACTTATTTAACGACAGCGAATTAGCCGTTATTCAAACTGATAGCTGACACAGACTTCCTTCAAAATTTGGAGAAATTAAATCCGCGCAGAACCCTTCAACTAATACAACTAAAGCTTGATTTTTTTAAATTAAATGTCTCATTAATCTCTTCAACTTAACAGGTGCTGCTTTTCATATGACTAAGTCTATTAACGTACGAGTCAGCTATTCAGTTTCAACAACTTAAAGTTTCTTCAACGAATGTACTTTTACTTCCGCAGAAAAATCAATATGCTTTAAAAAACAAGCATATCTTGTTTCCATGCGTTTCCCATCCAGACGATGCGATCAATTTTTTGTCTCTGTAAGAATAGTAACCTTCTACATGTTCTCAACATTGTTATACATTTGAAGTTTTGAAGTGCTTATTAAAATAACTAACCACAAATACGCTGTAATGCCGAAAAATTTGTCTACTTGCGGCTTGTTAAAGTTAACAGTTTTCGTATACTGAAAAATAGCAACTATTTAAACATGCCTTGGAAATTCTCGAAGGAATTCCAGTTTTGGATATGTACACCACTCGTACATCTAGGTATAAAATGGAAAAAACATTGACAAAAACATACGCGTCCGTTTTCAATAAGGCTCGTAACTTGCGAATTAAAAGCTTTATTTTATCATGTTTCAGCTTAAGTAAATTGAAAAGTAGAATAGACGCAGCGAAAATATCTGAAATCCTTTCATCGAACGAAATTGTAACAAAATGCCTTAAGACTACAAAACTTTTAGGAATCCTATTAACTCGTTGATCGTATAACAATTCGCCACTGCCGTTTCAGTATCTTACTTCCTGCACCGGAGGCACATTTGCCTTTGTTTTCCCAAACGAGAAAACTTCGTTACAGAAAACTTTTTAATCTGTTTTGTGTTTGTTTCCTATTTAAAACGACTTAAAAGCAGGAATACATTCAAATTAAAATTTAATTTTGCTTTTGGAGTTTACAATTCAGCGGATATTTCGGGGGTCTTGAATAATTCGCTCAAATAACTTCATATTGGGGACTTGTCGACTGGGGTGGAATGTCGTCAACAATTTAATCGTCTTGGTATTGAGTTCAAGAAGAAGATCGCCTATGTGAATAGTAATGACAACGATTAGTTCAGGCCAAGCTCAAATGCTGCATATTAGTCAGTTTACGCAAAAAGTGTAGTGAAGTGTAAAATTTTAATTGAAAAATTATTTCAGCTCTACTAACAGTAACAAAATCCAAATAGGTGGGATCGGAAGGAAAAATTCCGCAAGTCATGGAGGCGATGGATATAATCCCATCTTCGTTAAAATTCCAGAAGAGTTTTTCGGCCTATTTCGTAAGCACACAACCCAAACAAAGAATATAACATCGCGACCCTAACACAACAGTGAATAATCAACGAGCCCCATCAGGAAACTTTGAACTTTATACCAACGAAATATATTATTTATGATAAAAGTGCAATAAGTATAATAACATTATCGTGCTTGCTTGATATATTTTTTTTATTTTCATTAAATTAAAATGTAGTTAAAAATTTTTTAATTATATTTAAAAATCTATTGTGACATTCAATAAATAAGTTAAAATACGTTTTTAACGTATTTCGAAAAGAGGTTTTCTGTAAATATTTTTGAAGCTGTTAATTGGCTCTTTTAGTTTTTGTTTGGCAGCAAGTAGTTTGGCAGCAAGTTTTAGTAAAAGTGATGTTAAAAATGCTGACATGCTGCAAAATAATGACATCCACTTAAAAAGTGGCCGATTTATAAATTAACCTAGTTTCAGTGATATACGTATACCCCCTAACAAGCAAGTGTATCGAGGGCCAAAATGTGATATTAAAATTTAATTTCCCTTTCAAAGTTCGGCAATTCGCCAGTTATTTAGAACCCTCTGAATAATTCAGGAACAAAAATTCATATCGGGGACATGGCAGGCAGGACCGAGGAAATTGCGTCAACAATACGATACAGTTTTAGAACTTTTGTTTGAAAAGGACAGATAATCATATTTTTAACGTATTTTGATAACGCACATGGAATGAAGAATTTGACTTTTCGTGTTTTCGTTTTGACAAATTCCGTGTATTTAGGCAGTAATAAATTCAAAAACCTGTTTGGTTTCAAAGTTAGAAAGTGGCGATAATAAATGTTGATACCATATATTTCTTAAAGAATATAATTCATATTGGGTTAACAGAAAATGAAAGAAAGTAATTTAATATTTAGTGAATTGACTTCTTTTCAACAAATTTATCAAGTTAATCACTAAATAATTCCCCTAGTTACACGTGGAAATCAATTAGAATATGAATAAAACAGAATATGCATAACGTAAGACTAAACGTTAAAGATACTCAATGGTGTAAACGCAACCCCTATATACAGACAGCGCCAGAAGCCCAATATGAATCCATTAAAAATGCAACTGAATGTTTTTAATTAAAAAGATTAAACACGACTTTCATTGTTTTTTTCTTTTGAAGCGCATGTGACGAAAATTAAAAAGAAATAGTATTACGAATATGATACATTTTTGCATTTTCGTAATAATAGATAAGTGCAAACAGTAGAATCCCACAGTATAACAAATTATTAAAAATTCGCTTATTTATTGGGGCACTAATTTTTTAATTATGTTAAGTTCTTAAATATAAGTTTTTACTCTATAATTGAAACTAGGGAAGGAAATTTCCCTTCCTATTCTCACATGAATGATGGATAAAAGTGATGCTGAAGGTTATCATGCCTTTTAGTTTGAATTTTACATCGGCAAAAGCTAAACTGAAAATAAAAGCTCCCGAGTTACATATGTAGTATCTGCTGATAGCACAGATATTTCATGGGAACCGCTGACGCCGCAGCCATCTTCCGCTAGAAGTCGCCAAGGTTCACACCTGAACCCCTGGGAACTGCTGACCAATAAGTTTAACCAATCTTTCATTTTAATGTATAAATATAGTAATATTCATTCCTGCTTCTAACCTCGACCTGAACAGTTGTATTAAAGGAATAAACCTGTTTTTAAAAAGTCTGTCTATCGTTCGTTATACGTAATTGGCGCAGTCGGTAGGATTGTGCCGTAGTTAACCGAATCGTGCGAAAAAAAACTACGTGGGAACTTTCACCCTTAAGTGCAATCCAGAACATTGGACGACGACAGCAGAGGCCAAGAGCAGAATCAGGAAAAGAAGTCTGGAGACTACAGAAGATCAAACTGTAAGTGCCACTTCCTTTCGCCCCTTGAAAACCTCCGTTTAAGGCTTGGATA